ATTTTACATATATACACTCTCAATATAACTCTGTACATTATGCGCGCAAATTCTCGCCTTTGAAAAATTTCAGAAAAGTGAAGTTACACACGCATGATCATATCATTACTTGCATATTCTATATTCATCAAAACACGTAATTGACTATCTCCGTTCGTTAGGGTTATTCAAATCAACCCTACAAGATGTTGCACCAACCAAAAAAATAGGAATTCCCTCGCCGAAAAAATGAATGTCCAGAAAAAAATCTTTAATCTCTCACAACTTCGCACGAAGTTCGCAACAAAAAGTTTATAAACAACCATTAATACAACAGATCGAAACAAATTGGTTTTTTCCTCCCAAGGATGACTAATAACGATAATGCGAGCATCATTGAGAAAAGTATAAAGATCTTTATTAGAATTTTTCCTTTCGAGAAATTCTGTGAATCGTGCGCGAAAATCGACATGAATCGCAAGGTAAATGAAATTTCTCTCTTCTTGCCCGAGTCCCCCTTCGTATTAAAAAGAGATAATTTTGTTTTCATGTTGTTTAGAAGATTTTCATACGGTATCTACAAGAAATGCAACCGAATAGAATAGCTATACCAAAAAAACCATCTTATTGGTCTTTTCAAGCGGATGAAATTTTTTACAACAGTTCACAAGAAGAAATATATCACGTTACAAGCGAGGATCTTGTATCGAAGTAAGGAAAAAAAAATATATTTTCTCTTCGATCGATACTGTTTGAAACTTTTGATGTTTTATGTATACATATTATCGAGTGTTAACGATGTCTTTTTTTTTTAAAAAAAGAAAAGAGGAGTTTCGAATGGTATCGAATAATGGTATTGGAATTGGAAATGTAAATTAATATAATCGAAGAATCACAATTTAAGAATTTTAGATGGTGTGAATTGTATTTTAATGGGCTACGGACAAATAGGTTCTGGGAAGAGTTTTACTATGAGCGGTCTCCGAAACAACTGGGAAGTACGATTATGCGGAATATATTTTCAATTTTAAATTTTTATATTGCAAAGACAGCGATTACATCCTTTTTCTCAGCACAGAGGCCTGGTCCCGCGACTTTTGACCCAAATGTTTGCTGAAAAGGTGAAAAGAAAAAAAGTCAACAAAATAGAATATTGTATAAGCTTTATTGAGATTTATGGAAAAGAAACGAAAGATTTGTTACTCTCTAATACGGATAATAACAAAGTGAAGATAAACGAGCGAGAACCGTTCAAGGTATCATAAGATATTAAAAGAGAAAGAAAAGGTTAAGGAAGATATTCGACGAGTAATTCTCAGTCAGAGAAATTGTAGGAAATCTCCGTGGTACCTGTGGATAACGAAAATGAATGTCTGAAAAAACTCTTTGAAGGAGAATTTAGGAGATCGATTGCAATAGGATCAACTTATCCAGCCTCTCACTTATCCATGTCTGTGATTACTTTTCACGTATCTAATCTCAGTTTAATAACATCATGGGGTATTGTAACGACAGCCAAAGTAATTATTCGTTATATTATTTGTATCTCTATATGAGTTTTTTAAACCGTGAAATTGGAGATAATAGGATTCCGAATTAATTGGTTTTGTTTCTGTTTAATTAAAAATTTAATCAACACGTTAGATGCATATTGTGGAAACAGCTGGTACAGGAACAATAGGAAAGAATACTTGCTGGAAAACAGCGACAGATATTGGTATGGCGAATTTAATGAAAACTCAGCTGGAGCAATTCTTTTCACATATAGAAAGTCCAGCTACTATTAATATATCACGCTCCAATAATTTGTTCAAGATTTTAGGGGACGCTTTTTCAATTTCATCTATAATTCGGTTATTAAAAGGAAATTCATGATTGTACATGTGAATTTAAAATTAAAAATTTATTATAACATGACGCATAATGTAATTGCAATAGGTTTATATCTCATATTCGAATCACGGAAGAGGATCTTGACATTACATTATCAACTTTACGACTCACCGCAAAAATTGGAAAGTTAAAACCAACCAGGATAAAAAAAGATATTAAATATGAAACGGATTTTATAATACGTAAACTTCAGAACGAAGTCAATGTTTTGAAGAAGGAACTGATGTTGAACAATTTGATTTTAAATCAAGAAGCGCTAATGAATATTTCCAAGTCTCGGCTGGAACAAATTAACCGCAGTATTTTGAATTTTTTAAACGACAAGATTTCGGACTTCACGCTGTTTAGTATGTCCCAGGCCCAAGTATTGTTAAAGTGTATCAAGGATTTATATAACAGGTTGCATAATCTGTGTTATATATAGGATAGTTTTAGATTCAATTTCTAAATAAATGAATCGTTAGATTAACCGCCAAGGAAGTTGAAGTTGAAAAATTAAAAGAGACGTATGAAAATTTAATCAAAATCGTGCCGGAAGTTACTTCATCAGCAATTTTACCCAAGGTATTATTATTAATTAAATATAACATTTTCAATAAATTAATAAATTTAAATCGTTATATATTTTTATTTTGATAATAAAAAAATGCTAGAAAGCTCTATTATCTACCGATGAAATCAATGACCGGACACAAATTAAGAGTCCTTTCGTAAAATCTATTGATTATATGGAAGAAGATGAAAAAGAAATAGAAAAAGAAGTTGGAACTTTAAAGATACTCAGTAGATTAACATTTCTATTTAATTATTGAATATTAATTTTTACGAATTTTATTAATAAATTGAATTAATTTATCGTTCAATAGCGGAAGGTGTAACTATAGGTCCCTTTATGAAAGAATCTACTGTTGAGGAAAGTTTGAAACAACCCAAACATGTAACGGTGACTAAAATTAATATCGAGAAAATTGATATGCAGAATATACAGATGGTTAGACTGATTTTATTTCAATATATTTTTCTTAAAAATTTTCATACATTACTGATTTATGCTCATTAATAATAAAAGGTTCGACAATTGTTTTATACTTTCTTAAAAGAGAATATAGAATATGCAAAAATTAAGGACAAGTTTGTTAGAAACGAGAAGACTTTTGCTATAGTTCGACAAAAATTTATAGATACAATTGATAGTTATTTCCAGGTGCATTGCAATTTTATTATTATTTTTTTATTTATTGATATTTAACAAAATTTTATTTAGAATTTTTCTTAATTTTTTTTAAATTACTCCTTCCCTCCCTAGTCAAAGAGAAGTGTAGATGATACACGTGATAAACTAAACAAATACCGACAAATTCAACAAGTTTTAGAATTAGAAAATTCAGAAAAAAAAAGATAATATATATGAAATTGAGAGAACGATTGAACAAGATCTTTCATGTTACGAAAAAGTGTCAATTACTTTAGAAGAAGAGATTAATCAGATACAAAATGAAATTAACACGTTATCAAATTTACGCCTTGAAATGAAGTTAAAGCTAGAATGTGGTTTTCGAAAATATTGTAAACAAAAAAATATTTTATTGCATTGTACTGAAAAATTGATGAAAATATTGTTGGAACCTGAAATAGATAATCAGAAAGTAATTCAACACGAGTTTAATAAGTTTCAACGAATGATGTTGCGTAAAACAGAAGTAAATATTGCTTTAATTTAAATACTTGAATTTTTAAATTTTTAAATTTTTTTAATCTTGTTTTTTTCTTTTGTATTAGGATTTAGAAAGAACAAAAAAAACTACGTTTTGATAAAGGAATATGCAATACATAGTGCTAATACATAGCTAACGAAAATATTATCTTCTTAGTAATAAATATTAATATTTAGTATACAAATAAAAGCATTTTTGAATAATTTTAAATTGTATTTTCTAATTTAAACGCGAGAAATTATCATTAATGTGAATGAAAAACTATATATATATATATATATATATCTATATATACAAGGAAAGTAAATAATAAAGGAAAGACAGAGATAGGGGAAGCAAAATATTGAGATCAGCGCCATCTTTAGAGTGCCGCAAATGAAATACAAAAAGAATAATTGGCTATTAGCGCCATCTTTTGAGTGTATTCGAAAATAATTTAATTAAAAAAAAATTTTTCTGAAAATATTCAAAAGATGGTACTAATGGTCAATTCTTATCCCATTAAAATTATCCTTTATCTTCTTATTAAAAGAAAATATTTTATTCAAAAGATGGCGCTAAAACTTAATTCTTATATTATCTATCTTTCTCTTGCTATTTTTTTATCTTTTCTTTTTGTGCTTCATTTGCGATAGCAAACATTCTAGAGATAGCGCTGATTTCAATATTTTTATACTATCTCTGTCCTTTTTCCATTATTTGCTCTCTTTGTCTATACTTACTCTATTACTTGTTTATGCATTCAAAAGGCTTTGATAATTTTACATCTTTTTTGTCTATTCTATTAATTATAAAATTAAATTTTATTAATATTAATATTAATACTTAAGAATAATAAAATTATTAACATAAATTTAAAATTATTTTATATGTTCTATCTAATATTTCTGCTCTTTTTTTTTTTTGACATTAAACAAAATTATTATTATATATAATCTTATAAAATACAAAATAAAAAATGTATTGGATTGGCATAGATTTATTCTATGCCTCGTTTGTTGATTCATTTTCAGTTAACGATCAAAGTTCAGAATATTTTATCTTATATTGTATATAGAAATATTGCGAATATTCCGACAGATGTCTCCAATTCATTTTATACTTGCGTTGTAGATCAGCGCAATTACGATTTATTTAGCTCTCTGCCGACGTTTGATGTTGAAATCATGATAAATGATATCGCGAAATTGTGATACCTGTTATTTCATGTCACGTTTTATAATTTAATATTAAAGAATTCAGTGTTATTTTAAATATAAAAATCTAATTATTGGTGTGTTTTTTGGTGAATGACAAATGTAATTTGTCAAGAGTAATAATTCTATTGTATCATGTCGACATTAAATGAATATACTTGTCAACTATCTTCGGAAGAGAAGATATATTTGGCGGCTAATTTAAATGAAACTGATGAAATTAGATCAATTAAAATTACTGAAATAAGACAATGGATAATACAAAATAATGATTTACATGCGCCTACAGGTTTGAAATTTATTCTAAATTTAAATATAATTTGTTTTGTTTTGTATTTCAGTTAAAAAAATTGTATTTTATATTTTCATAGATGATTTTTTCATTCTTCGTTTTTTAAGAGCATGCAAATTTAATGTCGAGAAAACAAAGTCTAAACTTTGGAATTATTATAAACAGAGAGCAATTCTTCCTGAATGGTACAGTAACAGGAATCCCTTTTTACCAGAGTTACAAGAACTGTTTGATTTAGGGTAATATTTATAAAAATTTACAAAAAAAATATTTCCAAAAAAATATTTTACTTATTATAATAATTATTATTTTTAAATAATATTTATAAATCTGATATATTATTTTTTTAATAGTATCTTAATTTAAATGTTATATTGATGCTCAATATCATTATTTGTTATCAATAATTTATTATCTTTTTGAAGACATAAAATTGCATTTAATACTGATATCATATTTATGCTTGATAAAATGCATTTTGTAACTGATCATTATTTCAGTTTTAATTAATTCAGTAAATCAATTGTAATTAATTAATTATAATATTAATTTCTTTAAACATTAATAACGTAATTTTGAATATACAATTCAAAAATACATTACTTATTAGTGTATGACGTAAGAAAAAATTGTTCTTTTTTAAATCCGATTTTCCAGGGTGTTTTTACCTTTGAGAAAATTAGATAACCAAGGCAGAATGGTTGTGATAATACGTGTAGCTGCGCATTCTCCCAGCAGGCATAAAATATCAGATATGTTGAAGGTTTGAATAATAATTAACTTTGAATAACAAAATCAAAAAACTTTGAATAATATTAATTGAGTTATGTAATTGAAAAAAATAAGCAATATAATTATTTTTTAAAATTATTGTTACAATCGCAATGTAATCTTAACTTTGCGTACAAGAAATAAAAAATTGTGGCTATATAAATAAAAAGATTTTTTTTTTCGTATTAGGCTTCATTAATGATTTTGGATGTAGCGTTACGAGATCACGAGTCAGTAACAATATATGGTGTAACGAGTATCTTGGATTTAGACAATATCACATATGAGCATGTTCTCCAATTACCGCCGAATGTTATTAGAAATTTAGTTCATGCATGGCAGGGTTGTTACCCTGTTAGAATTTATTCGTTGGACTTTATTAATGCTCACAGATTCGTGAATACAGTATTAAACATATTTAGAAGTTTTATGAATACAAAATTGAAACAGAGAGTTCACGTTCATTCACGTGATAAATTAAAATTAAACGAAACTTTGCCGAAGAATATATTACCAAAAGAATATGGCGGTACGAATGGAACAGTCAAAGAATTAAGTGGTATATATTTTTACTTTGAATGTCTTGTTAAAGTGAATGCAAATTGTATCACTATAATTATATTTCAGAGTATTGGAAGCATGTTGTTGAAGAGAATCAAGAGTGGTTCATTGAGGAAGAAAAATACAAAATTAACGTTGATTAAATAACTAAGATTGGAATTAATTTACAACAATGAAGGATTGCAAATGCAATTGTTGGAATAGCGAGATAGACACCGAAATATTTTTTTTATTTTTTGTAAATATTTTTTATACAGAAAAAAAAATGGAAAATGAAAATATAAACTGCATCTGAGTGTTCTTTCTTTTTTTTTTTCTTTTTTTTATAAATCTTTTCTATGTATTCTCTGTATAAGAGAATCAAATCGCCCGTTAAAAATATCGATAATATATAAAATATAATTCATATGCTACAATATGGTACATATTTTGTCTTAAAATCGTATTGCACGCTAGCGCATATTAATTATTCTAATTATATCGGTCAATGTTGATCTTTATACAAAAATATTACGTTACATATTAAAAATATTTCCATTTTACTTTTATATATCATTTTTTCGTTTAACCGCTTTGTTTAATCGCGTCATTTCTCATCACAAGATAAATAAAACATACATTTAAGTCATGGGCAAGTAGGACTCTCCTACATCTAATTCACTACTCATTAACTTAACCAGTTACTACTCACAATCCCATTTACAATTTACGAGGGCACGTTGTATCGGATATAAGTAAAAATCGTCTCGTTTATCGCCAAGTATACTGTACAGTGTTCTCGAAGGTCAATTTAAACGAGACGATGAATACTTCTTCTAAATATCCTTGGTAAAATGCATCTCTAAAGATACATATTATATTACAGATGTTGCACTAAATAAAAAAGAAGGGATAAAAGGAAAAAAGTCCCTAAGGATCAAACACACTTTAAACACTCATTCGTTCTTTCATACAATTTACATTCAAGGGATATTAAGCGCATAAGGAGCATCATATCATATCTGAAAATTTATGCACGAAGGCCGCAACGAGATCGTCTCGAGAAAGCTGTTAAAGCGATCGTTTCCCGCTTTAGGTTCCAAATGGCCGACCATGATTGTTCCAGCCGAACCAACATGTTTTTAATTTATTTTATTTTCTTCACGATTTATTTTAGCGATGACGATTTCCAAACGCCTG